TCCACAATAAAAATGATTAATCAACCTCTCATAATTACAAAAAAATGAACAAAATGAAAAATTATGATTGGTTAAATACGGTTTGCACGGTTTGTACAAATTCACTGGTTCGCATTTGATCGCTCCCCTATGCAAGTGTGTATATATTTGGGTGTCATTGGGATAGAATATGTACATGTTCTTTGCATCTATATAGTGAGATAAAGAAAAACCAATTTTCCTTGGAGAATGAAATTTGAGAAGCAACATTTAATTTAATTAGAAGTTGACATTTGAGTAATTTAATCGTCATAGACGCTAGTCCGATGTTCGGTAGGGACCTCAGATTTGAGGAGACTAAAATGCTGGTATAAGTTGTCATATTTTGTTATGTGAGAGGCTTAAATTGTTCTTTCAATATTTCATGTGAATTCGATTCAGAAGTGTTCAATATTTGGTTCACATCTTCTGGTAGGTAATCTCGGGGATGACATACACGACAAGAGTTTCTTGTTTTCTTTGAAGGCATTTTGGCAGTATTATTTCAGTTCAGATTTTGTGGTATAGTTTTATGATAGACTTGATTCATTGGTGGTTTAATTGGAACATCTAACATGCTCTCAGTTCCCCTACAGTCTCTGCACGAACGAACCGAACAAACCCTATTTGGCTTTGAACAAAAGTATAGGAATGTCTCTAGCCTCCTCCTTTCTGTGACCCGATCAAGAACACGCCTAAATGGTCTACAACTCCATGGTCATATCATCAAGCTAGGCTTTCAAATCATCCCACTGATCTCTCATTATTTAATCAATTTTTACTCCAAAACCCAGCTCCCATTCGAGTCCTTGCGAGTTTTCGATGAAACCCACATCAAATCATCAACCACTTGGAGTTCCATCATCTCTTCTCTTGCTCAGAATGAACTCCCTATTCTTGCGCTTCAATATTTTAGAAGTATGGTCGATAGCGGAATTCGACCGGATGACCATATATTCCCGAGTGCCACCAAAGCCTCCGCGATCCTTTCGAGCTATACTGTTGGGCAGTCTGTGCATTGCTTTGCGTTGAAAACTGGGTATGACGTTGATGTGTTTGTCGGGAGTTCATTGGTGGATATGTATGCGAAATGTGGGAAAATTGAAGATGCACGTAAAGTGTTTGATGAAATGCCTATGAGGAATGTGGTTTCTTGGAGTGGGATGATATATGGGTATGCTCAGTCGGGTGAAAATGAAGAGGCTTTGTTGCTTTTCAAGCAAGCTTTTTTCGAAAGGTTTGAGGTTAATGATTTCACATTTACAACTGTCATCCAAGTTTGTGGTACTACAACACTGCTTGGATTAGGGAAGCAGCTGCATGGGCTATGTTTGAAATTGAGTTATGATTCATCGAGCTTTGTAGGAAGTTCTTTGATTTCTATGTATTCTAAGTGCGGAATTATAGAAGTAGCTTATCAGGTTTTTGATGAGATACCAGTTAGGAATTTAGGCATGTGGAACGCAATGCTCATAGCGTGTGCTCAACATTCACATACGAATAAAGCCTTTGAATTATTCAAAGAAATGGAAATTTGCAGCATAAAACCGAACTTCATAACATTTCTATGCACGCTCTATGCTTGTAGCCATTCAGGATTAGTTGAGAAGGGTAAGTACTATTTCGCACTAATGAAGCAGTATGGGATTGAACCATGCGATCAACATTATGCTTCTATGGTCGATATCCTTGGCCGAGCTAATAAACTAAACGAGGCGCTCTCGATTATAACGGAAATGCCAACGAAACCTACACAATGTGTGTGGGGAGCATTTCTGACCGGATGCCGACTTCATGGAAATACGGAATTGGCTGCTTATGCTGCTGACAAAGTCTTTGAATCAGGTCCTGTGAGTTCGGGTATGCACGTTTTATTATCCAACACATATGCGGCTGCAGGGAGATACGAAGATGCGGCTAGAGCCCGGAAGATGATGAGGGATAAAGGGATAAAAAAGGAAACAGGTTTGAGTTGGGTCGAGGAGGGTAATTTCGTACATACTTTTGCTTCAGGGGATAGACGGCATTTCAAAGCCGAAGAGATATATAAGAAACTGGAGGAGTTAGAAGATGGAATGGAGAAAGCTGGTTATGTTGCGGATACGAGTTATGTATTGAGGGAAGTGGGCGGTGAAGAGAAGAATATGGCGATTAGATATCATAGTGAGAGATTAGCGATTGCGTTTGCTTTAATTACATTTTCAGATAAAAAGCCGATTAGAGTTATGAAGAACTTGCGTATTTGCGGTGATTGTCACACCGCGATAAAGTTTATGTCGAGATGTTCTGGAAGAGTGATAATAGTAAGGGATAACAATCGGTTTCATCGGTTTGAGGATGGGAAATGCTCTTGCAGTGATTATTGGTGATCTACTTGATACTTCTAAACAGGATGCGCCAGAAATTTGACATGTAAATGAGTTTGATAAAGATTTCCCAGAATTCTAAAGTCATTTATCAGAAAAAACACCATCTTGGTGGGTTAGGCTTCAGCAAACTTACTGGAGGGGAAACAAAGACCACAAGAGCTTATAAAGATGTATGGGATATCTTATCCTGACCGAGAACATCCGAAGGTTATTATTAAAGGGTCTTTGGCCTAGCCGTATCTGAGCCTCTTGCCTCCTAGGAGGTCAGGGGTTTAAACATCACCATTGATGAGGACGGTGTGTGAGTTTATTTATTGCATTTGCTATATATAAATTATATTATATACTTAAAAAAAATCTGAAGGTTATTTTTGTTTTGTTTAGATTTTTACTTCGACTTGGATGTTGAGTTACATATCAACATCCATCAGTCTTTAGCATGTATTTTTGTTTTTGGGTGATTTCTTTCTGGTGAAGCTTAAGGAAGGGTCTTTCCACTTGATCAGATGCATAAATCAAACAAAGCCAGATACTAATCACATATTTGAGTTTAGAGATACACAAGGCACTGGCTTTTTCGGGTTTCAGCCTGGGCCTCCCAAACCTGAGGCCGCTTTCAGTGAGTAAAGAAAAGGCCCGCCCGGCCCAGGCTTAGGGTTGAAAAAGGGCCTGATCGGGCTTTTTCAGGCCAGGCCTAAGTGTTGTGCATCTCTAATTGAGTTATTATTATTTTTTTGGGGGTATGATAAATCTCATGTAAGATGTATGTTGATCATGCTCCATATCTGTTTCCCGGTTTTACTCTTATGTGCTGCTTTTTTTTGTTTTTGTTTTTGTTTCCTGCATATCAGATCAGAATTACTGGTTACATTTGTATGTGGAGTATTTGTTCAGTTGCATTGCAGCAAATTATTCAATTCTTGATCATATGTATAGTTAAATTTCCTTTTCAAGTTTTTTTTGAAAAAAGTCTCAACGTTTCAAGAGTTCAATTTAGCATGATTTGCTTGCATTTACCGTAGAGAGTGCAGATAGATGCAATAAATTCATGGTTGGTTGCACCCAACCTCGTAGGTGTCAAGTTGCGTATTTGAGAAACTATAATTGGTGTTTTGTATTTGCAAATTGCAGGGGTGTTGAAGAATGATTCTTGGTGTTGGCTGAAATGGCATTGGATTCTCTGACGGATTTGTTTCGATATAAATCGTATGCAAATTTTCCATACTCGTAGATAGATTTGTTTCAGATTTGGTTCTTTTGATTTAACTCTTGTCAAAAAGTTTGTTAAATTTTGATCTTATTTATCATTTTCTCCTATTTTAGTTGAAACATAAAACATATATAATATATTATACATTAATATCTTTAAATACTATAAGGGTGTTCGCATAATATAGCGAGATATATCTCAATTTTAATGTTTTGTTTTATTATTTATCTATGCCAATATAATACGGTTTTTAGTGATTTTGAGAAAACGATAATGTTTTTATTTTTAAATAAAATATCAATTTAGATATATCACAAAAATTTAGAAAACAAATATCGATATTAGTATCAAATTTATTATTTAAAGTTATGGTTTTTTGTGTAATTTCTTTAATTCAATATTTTATTTATAATTTAATTTAGATTTAATAATAAAGTAATTTATTTATCGTTTAATAATATAATTTTTATAAATATAATAAGGGTTAAACATTTTGTTATAGCTAATGATTATCTTGATTATATTTTAGATTTTTTATATTCAAAATGAGATATCTATCCCGTATTTAATCATGTTTATCTATAGTTAGTTACACAAATTAAAAAATGAAGCTTTAATAACTTATAGTTATGCACAATTTACTTGTGATCTTGAATTTCAAATAATATGAATCAATAAATAGTATTTTATATATAAAAAATGTTTGTTAAGAGTTTTTGTCAAATGTTATACAATATAAATTATTGATATTTCATATATGATAAAAGACCTACACCTTTTCCTCCCCCCTACCTGTGAACTCCAGCCCCCTTGTAGAGATGTTTAATTAGGAGATGGTTCAAATAACACATGGAAATCTCACTCATTCGTCCGCCATAAGGGTTGAATGTTAATCCTAGACGTTCTATCTCGATCATCTTCTTGAAGATGAGCCCTAGTCGTTGTTTCGAAATAGGCCCTTTTACATAATCAAAATTTCTTTTCAGGTGAGTGAGGAATTGTAAGATTCAGCCGAGGAGGGTTTATTGGGCTGAGTTCGTTTCTGAACAATATGAAATATGTAATCTTCACTCTGGTGCAGATTAGCAAATCAATCCAACGATGTGATTTAGGCGATTCCGAAATTTATTCTAAACCTTATCTGCAATTGATTTGGTAACTGCATAAAAAATTTAAAATACTAAAAAACAAATGCCAAGATTGGTTGTAGGTGTGTCATATTTACATAGTTTATATTTGAAATCACAAACAAATACACCCGAAAATAATTTGGGGAAGGTTCAGTGAAAAATCTATGTTGTATTGTGAATGAGGGGACAAAAAATAATTTGTAACGTATTCCATACATTCATATGATATAATATTTGCATTCATATTCATGATGATGTGGAGAAATGAGGACGAGTATCCTCCTCTCCTTTGCTCTTGGTGCACAAAGGAAAAAGATTTTCAATTAAATTTCCCC